TCCCTCTTCAGTGCTTTACGAAGCCGTCTACTTGTTCCCTGGCTTTCAGTACTTCCACTCGTGCCATGTGTACTCTCCATGGTTAAGTATAACCAAAACAGTAACCACAGAAACCACAACAATAACAATCACACAACAATTCTTATAAAAACACACAATATGCGATCGCTCAACGAAACACGTTCCAATGCGTTGCCGACGCCTATGAGTCTGCCGGTCGAGGCGCGTCTTTGATTTCATTGGTTCTACCGGCGGAGAACAATCAGCCATTATTACCATCTCTGTCTGTGCTGTTGACCACCGCAAAGCCACAGAAACGACATATGTCGTACGCTATACGGCTGTACTGGAAGGAAGCCGGGATCGAGCTCTGATCACGTGTTGATCACGCGTATGAGTCATTACAGTTTTAAATAGTTGTAGTATAGAAAGAGACAGAAGCTGGCTGGAGAGCAAAGCTCATCACCGCATTGCCTAGCAACGGTGACGCAGAAAGTCTTGCAATCTGTCGCGTTGCCAATACGTTACACCAGAAAGGTTACTGTCAAACTCAAGGGGGAGGTCGGATCGAATATTTAATTTAATATTTCTTTTTTATTTTGATCAGAATTATTTATTTATTTCAATTTTGATGCAACTTAGTGTTTTAACTTCTCTTAGAATTATCTTTCACCGAGGGTGATAAAATCAACACTTCCTATCGCAAAATGTAACAAGTACCATTACGCAATACAAATTATCACTGCCTGCGTGTATGCAGGTGACAACCTTTTCGAAGCAGGACGATACCGCCTAATGAGCGCTAGATGAGTACTGACCAAAATCGCTCATCTATGATCATGGAGGTGGAAACCTTGCCTTGCACGAGATGCGGTGTTGCCAAGCAGACCAATCATGCAATGTTGCAGAGCTTGCGGCGATCCTGACCTATCATTTCGACCTAAAATGAAGCTCCGTTAGGACCGATCTGGAACCGATCCTAATCAGATCCGACAAAATTCACGATTAATTATGATCAAAAGTTAACTTTTAGTCAGCATATAAATAAAAAAGCATCAGAAGCATTGACGGCTTATGGTTTCATAGCAAGGAATTGCAGGAATTTTCATAACATAAAGTCTATTAAGCTATTATATTATACTTATGTTAGATCCAAAGTCGAATATTGTAGTATTATTTGGAGCCCTTACTATGAATGCTATAGCACAGCTATTGAAAGAGTACAACGGAAGTTTATGAAGTTTGTTCTGTTTAGGATTGATGGGACATATCCGGAGAGAGGTACAAGTAATGAGGAACTATGTAGTCGCTTAGACATGTTGACTTTGAAAAAACGTAGGTAATGTGCCTCAATAATATTTGGCTACAAAATGATCAACAATTTAATTGATTGCCCCTTGATCTTGGAACAGATCAAGTTTCGAACTCCAACGTTTGCATCTCGCAATCATAAAATATTCGGGCTTCCTAGAGCTAGGACAAACATTCTTCTCAAGTCACCGTTATATGTAATGTGCTCTAACTTAAACAGAATTGGATGTTACTGTGATATATTTACGACAAATGTTAATTACCTGCTAAACGCAGCTAAGGCTTATTCGAACCAATAGCTCATGTTACAAATTTATACCTGTGTTGCATTTGTTGTTTTCTTTTCGCTTTTTTTTTGCTTTTGTATTATGTTTATAAATTGTCCTATAAATGGGAAACTATTGGACAATAAAGCTATTATTATTATCATTATTATTAAAAAATGTGTACGCTCAAAATAAAACCATTATATTATGTATCTATACACATTTCTCTCTCGTATACATTGGACTCAAGCCCCCAGACAAATTTGGTTTTCGGTGTATATTATTTGAGGAACAGAGTCTAGGTCCACAGGATTGGCGGATAATCATATAGGTCCCGTCCCGTATTTAAAGAATACGAACGAGATAGAAGAAGAGAGCAAGTCTGTGGACGCTTCTTTCGCGCTCCAGCATGTTTTTGTCTCCATCCCGCTTGTACACCTTACTGGAATTGAAAAAAAAATCCATTTATTTTTTTTAGTAGCCATATGTAGCATATCATGCAGACGTTGAAAAAGTAACAACATTTCTGTCAAAAAAGAAAAGTCATTAACGCCGTCTGGAGAAAAGCCCGAGAAAAAATATCGGTACAGATGCTTGTCTATGTTTCACATTGTTTATCTGTTTACAATAATATTTAAAAATGGCCGCATATGTTGCAAAACGATTATTCAACATATCTTTGTAATCGATGGGCCGATTTTATTTTTTCAACGTTCATTTTACTCTTTTCTTGAAAACAAACGTTTTGTAATACATTTTTTGAATGAAAGTATTATTTATTCAGATATACCAAGGTTTTCAATTTTCATCAACTTGTGCTATTCAAATCAACTACTATTTATTTTTATTCCAATAAACGTCATGTAGAACAGGCATCACAGCCGCACTGGCTTCATTCAGTCAACAGTTTTTCAATACTGGAATCGAAAAAAAAACAATCCATTTCTTTTTCTCAGCAGCCATATGTAGCAATGGCTTGCAGACGTTGAAAAAGTAACAACACTTCTATCAAAAAAGAAAAGTCATTAACGCCGTCTGTAGAAAAAAAACATCGGTATACATGCTTGTCGATCTTTAGAGGTACGTATGTTTTACAGTGTGGATCTGTATACAAAGATCTTTAAAAATAGCCGCATATATGTAATTTTAAAACGATTATTCAACATATCTTTGTAATCGTTACGCCAATTTTAACTGTTCAAAGATGATTTTACCCTTTTTTTGAGAACACACTTTTTATAATACATCTTTTGAATAATCCAGCAGTTATTCAGATATACCAAGGTTTTCGTTTATCATCAATTTGTGCAGTTATTCAAACAATATTACTTTAGTTGGGAAAAAGGTCGATTTCGTACATTGAAAACCATCACAACTGCAAATGACAGTTTTATCTAATCTTACTACAAAAAAGAAATAACATTGCAGATGTCTCAAAGTCTAGTATCAGCCACTAAGATCACATGTAAACTTACATGTGGTGTTAGTTTTTAATGTATGACATTATTAAGCATCTATAGGAATATATAAAAAGATCACACGATCCTGTTGGTGGTCATTTGGCCGCCATGTTTAAAAGTTGACAGCCAAGTTGTAGAACGATAATTCAGCATATGTATCTTCGTAACTCGAAATTTCAAATCTCTTATAGCTCAAATACTACTACAAAAAAGTGCCTTAGAGGGGCTCATTTGTCAGTGAAATATCCCTGGAGTGTTTTTTATTCTATCACAAGCTGCAATTATTCTTTCACTTAATTCCTCTACAGTGTTAATGGGACCTGTATACACTAGTGTCTTAAGATAGCCCCACAAAAAGAAATCTAAACTGTTGAGGTCTGGGGACCTTGGTGGCCATTCTTGGGGCCCACGGCGGCCAATCCAACGATTTGGATAAACAGTTTGTAAATAATTACGAACCGCTACACTGAAATGCGCTGGTGCACCATCATGCATGTACTACATATTGTTTCTTATTACTAACGGAACATCATCAAACAGCAAAGGCAACTGTTGTTGAAGAAAATTGAGGTAAGTCTGTCCGTCAAGTCGTTCCGGCAAAAAGGATGCACCAATAAAGTGGTTGCCAATAATTCCTGCCCGTACGTTAACCGAAAGTTGCTGTTGGAAATGGGTTACGGTTACGGCATAGGGATTTTCTTCTGCCCACAAATGGTTATTGTGGAAATTCTGAATGGCATTTCCAGAAAAATCAGCTTCGTCCGTGAACATAATCATTGATTCAAATTGCGGATTTTGTGTAATTTTTTGAAGATACCACTGACAAAAGGTCACACGTCTTGGAAAATTAATGGGAGGTAATGCCTGTACTCTTAAAATATGGTAAGGATATAACAAAAAATCCACTAAAATTCTCCAAACAGTTTGATGGCAAATATTTAAGTGTCTAGCGATCTTCCTCGTACTCGTTTCAGGATGTTCTTCGACTTCGTGCAGCACTGTTTCCTCAATTTCAGGTGTTTTCTCACTTAGAGGCCTACCTTCAGATGTTCTTTTTCGGACAAAACCAGTTTCAACAAGACGACGATGAATATTAGAAAAGGTTCGACTATCTGGCAAAGCACGATCGGGATACAGAGCTGTTTTGACCGACGCGTTTATCGAATCGGCCGCGTTCCAGTAATCCACACTGGGCTGTTTCTTCAGCGGTTTATGCAGCGATCCATTCGATTTGCAGAATGGATGACGTATTGTATTTATCGCTACTGTATTTGTATTGGAAAGTTAGTAAAAAGAAAAAAAGGAATAGAAGAATGTGGATACATCCAATCATCGAAGAAAGGCAACGAAAAGGTCATTTTCATACATTGTTTGCTGAAGTACAAAGAGATGAAGAAAAGTTTTTCAACTTTACTAGGATGTCGCGAAGTACTTTTTACGAGTTATTAGCAGTTTGTGGAGAAAAACTAGCAAAGAAAGATACACGTATGAGAAATGCGATAACACCAGAAGAAAAACTATGGAATACGTTTGCTGATGTGGAGGTGGTGGTGTATCTGATGTCTGATTTGCTTCGGTCCTGGTTGCATATTTCGAAATAGTCTGCATTATTTCAATCCTGCATTTTGTATTTAAATGTCTTGGCAGTGCAATAAGTGAAAGTACTAAGGAAAGTGCAAAGTGGTAATTGTCATCTTCAGTCATCGCCTTGTTTGCTCTTTTTTCGTAATTTTCAAGTGAATGTAATATTTTTCTTCGACCGGGTGTGTCCTTTTTTGCCAATTTTAGAATTATACTCTTCTTTATAGATTAAAGTGGGCGTTTCAGGGTTATTTGTATCTAATTCGGATGAATATTCATTATCCAATGAACTGGTGGTTTGTCTGGGCAGTATTACATCTGTGAGAAATTGAAATTGTAACCTCTGTGTACATGTATAAACGTAAGGAGCTTTCCGATAAGCTCCAGCCCCTGACTTTCCTTTCCTTTGATGAATATCTCTTGAAAAGTTGCCTCGGATATTTTTCCACTTGTTATGCAATTCATTACCTGTAACAAAATAGAATTACGTACATTACGTTTTAATTAACTGCATTTTTTCATTTTAGATATTTGGCCACGGGCTGCTCTTTGGCCGAATTATACTAAGTGACATACTCGTATAAATCCGAACACCCAGTTTAAATGGTTTTATTTTAATAAAATTTTGTATAAGTACTTAATGAAGCATAATAAGTAAATGATAAAAATTTCAAAATGATTGCACTGCTTTAAAGCCCTTTGACCTTTAATAATGTGTGGATGCACCCTGATGTGCTACGCATTCTCCAACGCGCCTAGGCATGCTTCTGATCAGGTGGTCAATGTCCTCCTGTGGTATCTCATTCCAGGCAATCACCAACTCCTCTCGAAGTGCTTCTAGAGTCTGAGGAGGACGTTGCAAATTGAGCAATCTCCTACCCATCATATCCCACACGTGCTCAATTGGGGATAAGTCGGGAGATCTTGGTGGCCATGGTAACAATGTGCCATCGTTATGTTGAAAGAAGTCTATTGTGACTCTTGCAACATGTGGTCGGGCATTATCTTGTTGGAAAGTTGGATCTGCCAGGGTGTCAAGATAGGGTAAAAGATGGGGTTCTAGAACTTCGTGGATATAACGCTGCGCGTTCATGTTACCTCTGATAAAGATTAAAGGTGACCTGAAACCATAAGCTATAGCACCCCAAACCATAACTCCAACAGTGTGATGAACATGTCTTTCAACAAAAAACTGTGGATTCCTCCTTTCACCACGTCGCCTTCTAACCCTGGCACGACCATCGTGCATGCCTAAACAAAATCGAGACTCGTCATTAAAGACAATACTGTTCCATTCCTGATCCCAGAGTGACCGTTGTCTGCACCACTCAAGGCGATTACGTCGGTGTTCTCGAGTTAAAGGGAGGATCCAGTGTGGCCGGTATGAAAACAAGCCAAAACTTCTCATTCGTCGGTAAACACTTCATTTGCAATGGACCTGGTAGTGGAGAAACGGTCCCTTAAAGCCAATAATCTTAGGCGGCGATCTTCACGGTCTGTTGTTCTACGGCGGCGTCCAGTGCGCCTTGCTCTTTGCGTACGGCCTTCTCGAAGCCATGCCTGACAACGCCTAACCACAGTGTCTACACTTCTTTGCACTCTAACTGCAATTGCCCGAAAAGAAAGTCCAGCTTCCCGAAGTCCCACTATACGGCCCCTATCAAACTCACTAAGTTGACGAAATCGTACAGGTCTCCGTACTCTAGGCATCCTAACCGATCGTAAAGGATGTCAAGAACCAAAATCCGCCAACGTTGATTCTTTACTGCGGCTGAAATATTCATTTTTAGAGCGTTAGTGAATTAAAAAAAGGCAGTATAAAAACCGGAATGTCCAACTGATAAGGGTGAAAATTTGTTCACTTGTTATTTACAGTAAGATAAATACATTCACCAACTTTTATTAAAATAAAACCATTTAAACTGGGTGTTCGGATTTATATGTCACTTAGTATTTTCGTATTGGTAGATCTACTGCTAGTAACGTTATACAAGAAGTATGCAAAGCAATATGGATTGAATTTAACAGACAAAGTGATACCGCAATGTTCAACAGAGAAATGGATAGAAATTGCTAAAGGGTTTCAAACATGTGCACAGTTTCCCAACTGTATAAGAGCAATAGACGGGAAACATATTCGGACTAAGCAGCCACCCAATAGTGGGTCTATGTACTACAATTATAAACAGTACTCTTCTACGGTACTGTTTGCGATGTGCGATGCCAATTATTGCTTCACGTATATTGAAGTGGGATCATATGGTAAATCAAGTGATGCTGGCATATTCACAAATTCTAAACTTTATGAACGATTAGTTGATGGTACATTGGGAGTCCCTGCACCCATGTGCTATTCACGAAACGAAGGAAAAACATCCTTTCATGATAGTTGGCGATGAGGCATTCCCCTTATCCGAAAATTTGCTTAGGCCTTTTGGAGGTAAACAAATGACACCTTTAAAAGAAACTTTCAATGCTAGATTAACCCGAGCCAAGGACAAGGGATGGCACTCGGTCGAATGACGAGAAGTTAGATGAAAATATCAATCTTGATGGTCTAGCACCAGATACAACCCACAGAGGAAATCCATTAGCATTATCTGCTAGAGATAAATACGCTCAATATTTTGTAAAACAAAAAACCGTTTAAACAATAAAGATAGCCAATAAAAAATATTGTTAATTTGTTCTTATTATAAACAATTATTATACCTACCTAACAGCTTCTTTTCGTCAATTGTGCTAGTTCCTCCCAACATTTTCTTCTCATAACCCTATCGCTGTATTCCTTTTTCCTCAAATCCCAAAGTGACGGTCGGTTCTCTACTTCGCTAATTAGCTTTTCAGTATCAATTTTGTGTGCTTCCATTTCTATACAAAACGAGTCGAGGCACGTACGTGTGTGAACAGAGTAATCTAATGACGCTGAATGACTCAACGCGCTACTTGAATTAAACCGACTCGATTCTTCAGATCAACTACAAACCGAAGCTGTTTTAAAACCGCCGCATTGAAACGAAATGCGTCGTACCGCTGTGTGTATTTTGTACTACGAATGATATATCATACAGTATACGACTCGGGCACCAATTCGATAAACGCGTCGGTCAAAACAGCTCTGTTTGTCTTTACCCTAAGACGGTACACAAAATCATGCTAAAGATGCAAACTTTATGAACCGTCTCCCTGCCCCTGTGGGCCCATAATACTCTCTCCGCCTACATATCGGATGTTATACAAATTAGGGTCCATACATACTCTCTTACATGACTACTGAATACAGAAATACTGCATATCGATCCGAGAGAGGTAAAAGTGTCACGAAGTTCATATTTATCCAGCATTCATTCCTAGGCGTATATCACATCCTTCTATCGAGAGAGCTCCTGGCTGTCGCCGACAATAGAAATTCAAATAGGATCCACCGAGATGCATCCTTTAGTAGGTACTGGGTGAAATATCTTGCTTTTATTCTGATGTACATACATGTCCTTTGAATATTCAATTTCTCAGATGGATTTTTGTGTTGGTAACTAAAGATAAAAAATACATGATTTTTTAGATTAGACGACTGGTGGTTTTTAATTATTTTTATCTATCGGCGATGTATTGTAATAGTGAAAAAATGGGAAAAAGTTCTGTAGTTTTTGAAAATCGATACAGAGGTGGTGGAGCGAGGAAACAATAAAAATCAGTCAAACATCGTTTTTTAAGGTTTCAGAGACCATTTTCAGATAGATATCTGTAACGTTTAGATATTGGTAGTTGGGGGTGGAGGAGGTAATATCGCAATTTTTTGGCGTTAGGATATAAACATGCTTCCCCGGTTACTGTACGCACCTAACGTACAGGGTTTGTCCGGAAAGTAATAGGACTGAGTCGATTTAAAAACATTTATTGAGCCAATCGTTACAATTCTTTAGAAACTTTCCAAATAGGCTACTTCTGCGTCGATGCAGCGCTGCCAGCGCGATTTCCAAGCATTGAAGGCGTCACGGAAGGCATTCTCCGGAATAGTCTTGAGAGCCGCGATGCATGCTGCTTGGATCCCCTCTGTCGTCTCAAAATGTTTGCCTTTCATCGGCCTTTTCAGGCGAGGAATCAAAAAAAAGTCCGAGGGGGCCACATCTGGGCTGTAGGGTGGCTGCGGAAGCGCTGGGATGCCGGCCTGCATTTTAACACTGTGGTATAGGATTGGGCACCAGCCTTAATTTTATTGGTCAATTTCAATTTATTCAACCAATAACAAGCCGGGTGCCGAAATCACTACCGGAATGTTAAACAGTGCTGAGCATGTGGTCAGAATGTTATCAATTTAAATTTAAATTTACTTACCTTCCGCTAAAAATGCGTAAGATAGTAATCAACGCAACGTTGTTTCCTATTACGATATTTAATGATTTTAAAATTAATAATTTGGTTTAGCAATAAGAAAAATCCCATGAAAAATTTAAAATTATATATTATAGAAAATAACTGAATTTAAAAAGAATGCAAGGAAATGTAAAAATCTAAAAAATCATATACTTTTTTTGGATTTTTGTATAAATAATCCGCGGGTGGAAAAGTGGTATTTTGCTCCCAAGCTAAATTCTAATATCTATGTATACACAGAGTGTATTTTCTCATTCAAGTACAGCATTTATCATTTCAGGGAAAAAATTATCACTTTTCGTGAAAAGGTAGTAGAAAATAAACATATTAAATGTGAATGTTTATTGGTCCGTTCAAAAATAAACAAGAAAATTCAAAAAACAAGAATATTCAAAAATAAAAAAGAAAATTCGAAAATTAACAAAATAATAATGTAATAGGTTTTAGTGACCTGTTCCATGAGACTTAGCATTCGGTAAATTTTGCTTTACATTGAGTGCTTCTCTTTCTTTTTCTTGGTGCGCCTTCTTCCTTTGGTGGCCGACCAATCGGTAACCTTTTGCAACCCCTTGTAATCCCTACTTATTTCGGGTCACTCTTGAAGGCAACCTTCCCGATCAAAAAACTTAATTAACACACAAATACTCCAGATTTGCCTTAAAAATAATTTCATCAACTGAAGTCAATATTTTTTCATCAAATTAATATGGGACTACCCCAGAGGCATTTATACCCTTTCATTTAAAAAATAATTATCATAATCGGATAAGCCATCTTGAAAAAATCGGTAAATACACATAGAAAAAAATATAGCTGACGAATTGAAAACCTCCATCTTTTGGGAAGTCGGTTAAAAATATAGTTTGCATTCGCTTAAGCAATATTATGCCCTTCGTGCGCCTTGAATTTCCGAAGTAGGTATTCTGAAAATTAGTTCTAACCCAAACAAGAACAATCTAGCTCGAAAACATTAAAAAAGTCTAGCTCCAAAGATAAAAAAGCTACGGTCGTGATTAGAATCAAATAAATAATCCTTTACAATAACAATACACTTACCTATATACAAGAAGACGCGGATTTGCGAGACCACATCTGAATCGCCAAGTTGTAAGAGTCTCTATCTCTCAGCCACTGCATAGTGCCTTCTGCGTCTGTAAACTGTCCCCTGTATATATTGTTTTTTATTTTAACGCAACCTTCCATTGTTCTGCTCAACTCGAAACGTATTAAAAACGATGACGCTTGAACTTTTAGGTTATAATATCTAACGTAAACTGCGTAAACGATAAAGAACTTCCTTACGCATCGGCGACCTTCGAAATTCCGAACTGTATTTCGGTAATCCTCAACATTCGGGTAGTGATTTCAGTACTCGATATATTAGTAGAAGCAATTTAAATTGATAACATTCTGACACTGTTTTCAGCACTGTTTAACATTCCGGTAATGATTTCGGCACCCGGCTTGTCATTGGTTGAATAAATTGAAATTGACCAATAAAATTAAGGCTGGTGCCGAACCCTATACCATAGTGTTAAAATGCTGCCGGCCTTGGTCAGGTAGCTTCCAGTCGGCTGCGATGTCTTGTCGGACCCGTTTGAGTCTCCTGAGCACTTCCACGTAAAACTTGGCGTTGACGGTTTATCCAGGAGGAACAAATTCATGGTGGACGATGCCTTTGGTGTCAAAAAAGACAATGAGCATCGTTTTCACTTTGGATTTGCTCATTCTTCCCTTTTTTTTGCGAGGAGACGCCGTCGTGTGCCACTCGGAAGATTGCCTCTTTGTCTCGGGATCATGCTCAAAGATCCACGATTCGTCACCTGTGATTACGTTATTCAAAAATTGGGGGTCACTTTCACACATGTTCAAATTTTCTTGGCACACTTCCACTGACCGCAATTTCTGGTCGTCAGTGAGCACATGGCGGAAGAAAATGAGTCCTATTACTTTCCGAACAAACCCTGTATGTTTTGGCACAAGATTCATTCAATTTTAACAAACACAGTCAGTTGATATTTATTTATTTTGAAGGTTTCGCTTCAAGGTGTCGAATAAATTAGAAATGAGAAAAAGTATCTATAAGTTGGTTGTAGGGGTACCCAAAGCTAAAATATGTCCAGTATTCCAGAATGAAAACATTTCACGCTGAACCATTTATTGAACAATAGCCAGTGTGAGCAGGGCATACCATGACTGAATTTCCGAAAAAAAGGAAGACCACGTGCATTTTCTACACAGAGGTCAGAGAGATTGGTGCGGAGAGTAAAAAATCAGGTTGGAATGTCAACAAGGAGACTGGCTCGTCAATGCAGATCTTCTAACGGCCGTATCATCAGTCGCTCCTACAATAATTGTAGGACGCCTTTATGGCCTGCTTGATTTTCATAGTTTTCTAGTGTTCCATGTCAGCGCTCTATTTTGAAGTTTTGTTACAAATATCTATTTGAATCAAATTGTTCATGCTTTTGATTAATATCATCTGTTATATCGACGTGAAATGTCTTACAATTCAAAAAGAAAATATAGCCTCACAATAAGGGAGCGCTAACGCTGACACACAATAGAACAAATCTAGAAATACCCCAGCCTTTCGGAAGTGAAGGACAGGAAAAACTATGAAAATCAAGGCCATAAAGGCGTCCTACAATTGTAGGAACGATTGACGATACGGCCCTAAGAGTACGATGTACTCGTAGTTGGAATTGACAGATTTTATACGGACAGCGTAGAGGAAGGCCTTGACAATGTTAGATACAAACATAAAGCGAAATTTGCAGAATAAAATCCTTGTCTAGTGCGCAATTTCTAGCAGGGGTGTATCCCGTACTCCAACCTTTTGTGGGAATTGTGAGGGGTGAAGCTTTGAACAGTCAGAGCTATATTGATAACTGCCTTTCCAAATTGCTTCAGTTTTGGCTAGACCTAGCATCATGCCATTACTCAAGAGATACCCAAAACTGGCTTCTACAACAACATACCCTGTGTTCCCAAAAAACGATAATCCCCAATCTTGCAGGCAGAGGATTTTTGGGCTTTACTGTCTAGGGGGTTTATCAAGTCTAGGAAGCCCAAGATGAAGAGAAGATGAATTGATCTGAATTCTATCCAGGACCTGATGAGAGACATTGCAGAAAATTGCGTCTGGTAGAGCAGAATTGGCCACTCTAGTCAAGTATAGAGTTGTGATTTGTGATAACTACGAGCACCTTCCCACTTCAGTTGGCCCAACTATTGAAATCCTTTTTTTCTTATCAAACACAAATAATAAAAATGTAGCAGGGTATTATAGGTTTAAAATATTAACAATGAATATTTTGATAATATACAGGGTTATCCAAATTAAGTGTCCACCATTAGGAACTTTGTTATTAGTGAAAATACAAAGTTGTTTGAATTAGCAAACTAGTAGTATTTTTAACGCTGGTAAAAATGAGAAATAAAAAAAAAAACAATTGAGAGTCGTTATTTTGATTTTTTTCAGTAAAATAACATTTTTTTAAATGGAAACCCCTGTATATTATATTTTTTTCTGTTAAAGCATCAAATTTTAAACAAAAAAGTTC